AATAATGATGGGTCCCATTGATCCCACTGAAGTCAGTTAGCTGCAGGATTAGTTTTCCAACAGAGTAATCTTTCAGTTTTAACAATGCTGAATAAGAGATGGTTCCATGCCAATCACCCCATTGCAAAAACAACCTAAAGCACATACCTAGCCAGCATGTCATTAGTTTTCTATAAAAAGTGCAATATATTTCCCTCAGGTCATGATCCCCCAATCCTGGAATTGAGCCTTGCCTTGGGCTCCCTGCTTAGTGGAGAGTCCACTTCTCCTCCCTTCTCTCCCCAGTTCTCTCTCTCTCTCTCGCGAATATATAAAATCTTTTTTTGTTTTTAAATTGTGCCATATTTCCTTTTAAATTTATCTAAACCACCACACACGCGTGGTTTGCTAGTAATCAGGCTCCCAGCCTTTTAGAGCCAAAAAGTAAACACTTTCTTTCTGAATTTTGCTGATAAGATCTTCTCTTTCCTTTGACAAGCAATGCCATCATAGAGAGGAGCACATTTACAAAATTCTAAGCCACATCTGAAACTCATTCAGAAAATAAGTCTACAAAAGCAGGAACTCTACCTGTTCACAGTAAAGGTCAGTCTTCCTGCAGGTCTTCAAGTTCTCCCTCCTTCACAGCCGCAAGTAAAGGAAACAGAGACTCACACAGGCCTTGACACTGCTGACGTGCAGACCTCAGTAACTGTAACAATGACAGCCCAGGAAACGACTGAGCATTCTAATCATCTTACAACCCTCAGGAAGCATGCACCTGTTCATCCTCCTCAGTGTGATACAGTCAACACTAAGAGGAAGAGACTTCTTGGAACCTTCTTCCTGCCATACAAACTTCTCAGTTCGAATATCACAGCACCTTAGGAAATGGAGTTTTAAACTTACCCCCTAGATTTACTCCAGACTCTCAGAGTAGGAAGACATCTTAAAAATTACACAGTTGGGGTGCCTGGGTGGCTCAGTGGGTTAAGACTCTGCCTTCGGCTCAAGCCATGGTCTCAGGGTCCTGGGATCAAGCCCCACATGGGGCTCTCTGCTCAGCAAGGAGCCTGCTTCCCCCTTTCTCTCTGCCTGCCTCTCTGCCTACTTGTGATCTCTGTCTGTCAAATAAATAAATAAAATCTTTCTTAAAGGGGCACCTGGGTGGCTCAGTGGGTTGAGCCTCTGCCTTCAGCTCAGGTCATGATCCCAGGATCCTGGGATCGAGCCCCGCACTGAGCTCTCTGCTCGGCGGGGAGCCTGCCTTCCCCTCTCCCTCTCTGCCTGCCTCTCTGCCTACTTGTGATCTCTGTCAAATAAATAAATAAAATCCTTCTCTAAAAAAATCTTTAAAAAAAAATTATACCGTTACCCTATTGCTATGTGCTGCCCAGTAAGGTCCTAGCCATTTGCTATGTACATGTAGTTACTGAGCACTTGAAATGTGGCTGGTCTGAATTCAAATGCACTCTAAGTATGAAAACCAGATTTTGTAGATGAAGCATGAGAGAATGCAAAATATCTCATTATTACCAAATCGATTACATCTAAAACTGTATGGGTTAAATAAAATATATTATTAATTTCACTTTTCTAAAAGATTATTTATTTATTTATTTGACAGACAGAGATCACAAGCAGGCAGAGAGACAGGAAGGGAAGCAGGCTCCCTGCCAAGCAAAGAGCCCAATGCGGGGCTCGATCCCAGAACCCTGGGATCATGACCTGAGCCGAAGGCAGAGGCTTTAACCCACTGAGCCACCCAGGCGCCCCTTAATTTCACTTTTTAATTTGTCATTTTTTATTTAGGAGACTTTACATTGCTCACATGGCTTGCATTACAGTTGGATTGTTACAGACCTACAGTCTCTATAGCAATGCTTATAGACTCACACCTTTAGTTCTGATAGCAAACATGAGCTATCACTTGACATTTCCCAATCATGACTGCCATTTAAAAGCCAAAAGAAGGGGCGCCTTAGTGGCTCAGTTGGTTAAGTAACTGCCTTTGGCTCAGGTCATGATCCTGGAGTCCCGGATCGAGTACTGCATGGGGCTCCCTGCTCAGCAGGCAGTCTGCTTCTCCCTCTGACCCTCTTTCATGCTCACTCGCTCTCTCTCTCTCAAATAAATAAGTAAAATCTGAAAAATAAGTAAATAGGGCGCCTGGGTGGCTCAGTTGGTTGGGCGGCTGCCTTCAGCTCAGGTCAGGACTCTGGAGTTCCAGGATCGAGTCCCGCATCAGGTGCCCAGCCCCACAGGGAGTCTGCTTCTCCCTCAGACCCTCTCCTCGCTAATGCTCTTTCTCACTGTCTCTCTCTCAAATATATAAGATCTTTAAATAAATAAAAGCCAAAAGAAGGTGCCTGGGTGGCTTGTCAGCTGGGCTCCAAATTTTATTTTTGGTTCAGGTCATAATCTTGGAGTTGTGAGGGTAGAGACCCATGTGGGGCTCCCTGCTCTGCGGGGAGTCCACTTCTTTTCCTGTCTCTCTCCCTGTGCTCTACCTCCCATGCACCCTCTAAAATAAATAATCTTTGAATAAATAATAAAAATAAAAGCCAAAAGAAAAAGCAGCATTTTCTTTTCTGGATCCATTGATATTAAAATAAAAATAACTTAAGAACAATGTAAAAATAGAATCACTTTGCCCTAATACCATTTTAAAGAAAGATTACTTGACTTCGAAAAGGCAAAAATAGCACAGGATGCAGAAATTACATCTCTTAAAAAAATAAGGTGGGAAATACACAAACCAAGTGTTTCTAATAAAGTAGATCAGAATGTTGATCACATCTTTAAAGTGAAATTAACATTTCTTTCATTTCCAGTACCTAGGGCCCCAGAAAGCTATATAAGATCTTATCTTTATTATTCAAGCACCCTCAACCACAACCAACCACTAACATTATAAAAAGGAAATACTTACAACTTAATTCTCTTGTCCAAAACTAAGGGAGGAAAAAAGGAGAAGAAGAAAGAAAGGAAAGAAAAAAAAAACAGCTCAAAATCAAAATAAGAAACAATTTCTCTAGGGCTAGATGGGCTACCTTTAGTCCACAAACCATATGGAATAAGAAAACATATTTAAAAATAAATACCTTGCACCATGATTTTTTAGAAGAGTATTTTATTTTATTATTTTTTTAAAAGATTATTTATTTATTTATTTGACAGACAGAGATCACAAGTAGGCAGAGAGACAGGCAGAGAGAGAGGAAGAGAAGCAGGCTCTCTGCTGAGCAGAAAGCCAGATGCGGGGCTCGATCCCAGGACCCTGGGATCATGACCTGAGCCGAAGGCAGAGGCTTTAACCCACTGAGCCACCCAGGCGCCCCTAGAAGAGTATTTTAAACGTGAGAAACAACACATTTCTAGAAGCAAACCCTTTATTCTTCTAGCATAAGACACATTTCTTCTTTTATTTGATTTAAAAGTACTCATGCCTCCAGGGCTTTCGAGGAAAAAAAATTACTGTATTTCTGAACCTATAAAAATATTTTTTTAAAGGGTGGAGGAGAGAGCTCTTTAAAGAATGGAGGGGGTGGAGAGACTGGGTGGCTCAGTGGGTTAAGCCTCTGCCTTAGGCTCAGGGTTTTGGGATCTCAGGGTCCTCAGATGAGCCCAGCATCTGCTCTCTGCTCAGCCGGGAGCTGCTTCCCCCTTTCTCTCTGCCTGCCTCTCTGTCTGCTTATGATCTCTCTCTCTGTCAAATAAATAAATAAAATCTTTAAAAGAAAGAAAGAAAGAAAGGAGAGGAAAAGCTTTCTCAGGTGTCCAGAGGATCCAAGAGTCACTTCTAGAAAACTATCAATGGGGAAACCGTATAAAAAAAGAATTTGAGGGACGCCTGGGTGGCTCAGTTGGTTAAGCAGCTGCCTTCGGCTCAGGTCATGATTCCAGCGTCCTGGGATCGAGTCCCACATCGGGCTCCTTGCTCGTCAGGGAGCCTGCTTCTCCCTCTGCCTCTGCCTGCCATTCTGTCTGCCTGTGCTCGCTCTCTCTCCCTCTCTCTCTCTGACAAATAAATAAATAAAATCTTTAAAAAAAAAAAAAAGAATTTGAGGAAATTTGGACCAAGGAGTCCCCAAGGCTTCCACAACAGTTGCTGAAATACTTTCTAAGGTGTCCTAGCAAATTTATAATCCCCAAAAGGCCACACATATTTGCCTGTCAATTTCTTTATCCATTTTGAGATTCATCAGCTGAGTATAATCTTCAGACTTCAATTTGCCAGGTGATACATTCCTTAGAAACCTTTTCCTCGTGCATATAAATACCAAGCTCAATTACGCTCCCAGTCGAGTAAGCAGAAAGGATTGCACATATTTTAATGGGGGTGTTGATTGGCTGCAGCTTCCTGCCCTGCTGTAAAGAGTAATGGGTAAATCTCTTTCTGAGTATAATCCCTAAACCCCGGAATCACTCTCAACGAATCGAGTCTCCTAACATTGCCCAATCGGTAAAAAGATTGCCAAAATTTCCATTAGAGCGTCCTATTTTTAGAGGCTTTGGAATGGGTCTTCAAAACTGCACGCCACAGTACGCCTGTGAGTAAGTTTACACAGGGATCAAAATAAGCATCCTGAGGTCGCAACCCTTCTAAGCTTACGAAGGGATTTAAAGCTTTTAAACCTTAATTTTTAAAAGCCTTAACTTTAAATCTGTTCAACCCGCAAATTAAAAATAAAGATTAAGGTAGATCCCGGCCCAGAGGGAGGTACGGATAGGAGACCCGGGGCGGTTCTCGGGGGGTGGCGGAGGGGACAGGTATGAAGGCAAACAAGGACGGTCCCGGGGGTGGGGAGCCGGGGCAGCGGCGGGGGGCGAGCGCCGCACAGACAGCGGGCTGCAGCAACCGGAGGCGCGCGGGCAAACGCGGAGGGCACCGGGCAGCCCCGCACCGGGAGTGCAGCAGCTGCGCGGGGCGCCGGGGGAGGAGCGACGGGGTACCGGGGGGTTTCCCGCGGCTGCCGCCAGCCGGCCGGCGCCCCGCATCCCGCTCTTCCTCTCCTCACCTGAGTGTCGGAGGCGAACGCAGGGCTACGGCTGGACGCCGGGTCTGTTTCCAGCCCCGCTCGCTGACATGGCGGCCGTAGAGCTGTCACAGAGCCTGCTCGGGTCTCCCGCCGCTCGGGTGGAGGAAACACCTCTTGCCTTCCCGCCCCGCCTCCCTCCGCGCACCCTTCCCCGCTGGCCGGCTGGCGGCGGGCGGCCCGCGACCGCGGAGCATAGAGCTCGAGCGGCTAGAGAGGAAGCGTAGGGGGACGGACAACCATAGAGTACCAGCCCAGACACAACCCGGATGGTCCGTCTCTCTCTTCATCCGTCCACTCACAGTCCCCGGGAGGCTCACCCGGACGGAAACGGAAGTGAGAGAAATGGCAAGAAGAAGGGACCGTTCGCATGCGCAGTTTGTAGTGTCTTGCACCGCCCGGCCTAGTCTGGTTTTGGGGAGATGTTACACGTGGAGTGCTCTGTACGGAGCCGGCTGGCGGTGTGACCCTCTCCGGTGACGTTGGGACAGACCGTAGAGGCTGAAGATGTCGGTCCCGGTGGCAGGGCTCCCCCGGCGGCTGGCGCTCTCAGCCTTGGCCGGTGCTGGTCGCTTTTGCGCGTTGGGGTCTGGAGGGACGAAGTGGAGGGGCGTCCCCGCGGGGCACCGCCGGGGCTTAGCTGACCTCCACCCGAAGCTGGTGCCCCGTCAGGGCTTCAAAGACTCAAACTCGTGGTTGCCCAAATACCGCTCAGAGCGCAAGAGTTACATAACCAATCCGAACCTGGCCACGACCTTGGTGCGGATCCTGAAGGAAGAAGCGAAAAGCCCTGACCAGCTTTTCCTGGAGTGCAATCCAGGTGAGTCGGCCGGGGACTACCTTTCCTCGGAGTTCATCGCTCATGCCACCTTCCCTCGACCGCCCGTGGGGGCCCGTTTAAGACATGACCCCTTGAAGCAGCTTGGATGGTCGGTCCCGGTTAGGACACCAGGAAATATTTCCGCAGCAGTTTGCACTTCACGCAGCATTTGATAAAACGTGCTCCTAGATTTTACTGTCTCCTCAAAATACTTGCATGTCTCTCCCCAAAGAACTTTTATCTTTCACATACTCCTCCTAGAGACCGTAGCAGGATGCCTAGAACATAAGATGTGTAGACTTTCTGAAAGGTGCTTTTTTTTTTTTTTGTAAAGATTTTATTTTATTTCTTACGTAATCTTTATATCCACCGTGGGGCTCAAACTTACGACCAGGAGATCTAGAGTGGCGTGCTCCACCAGCTGAGCCAGCCGGCCACCCCTGCAAAAAATACTTTTTTTTTTTTTTTTTTAAAGGAGCACGACTTGTCCTGAGTCAGTTCTGTTTAGGTTTGACAGTATCTTTTCCTGGTTAGAGTCCATGAATAAGTGGTATGCTAAAGGCAACTTTGTTTTTCCTGGGACAGTAAAACATTGTGATTAAGAGGCTTTGGCTTTGACAGAATAGATTCAAAGCCAAGCAGTATCATCAGTTTTGATGTTAGAGTCAAATGATTTTATGTAATCCCTAGGTTTCGTGTGTGTAAATGAGGAGTGTAGTATCCTCTTTGGGAATGTTGTGAGGATCAAAATTAGTAATACATGTGAAACATCGACTCTAGTCAATATTGAGAAAAGTTGTTTCTTTTGCAAATAAATTTTTCCTTCTGTTAATAACACTAGGTCCTGGAATCCTGACTCAAGCATTACTTGAAAGCAAGGCCAAGGTGATTGCCCTTGAAAGTAACCGAACTTTTCTTCCACATTTGGAGGTATACTTTTAGTTTCTAAACTAATTTATTGTTCGGCTAGCTATCTTTGAGTATTTAGGGAAAGGAAAATTAAGCACCCAATTTATTTTTAGAGAATCACTTTGGGGAGCCTTGCTGTAAATATATTTTATCCCCCATGACTAGAACATAGCATAATTAGTATCATAGAGCTGTCAGTGTTTATTGAATGACTGAAATATTGGAGTTCTGAGACTTGTTCTCTGATTCTGTCTCTGCTGCAGACTAGTTGGGGGACTTTGAACATCTCTAGGCTTGTTTCCTTATCTCTGGTAGGGTATCCTGTGCCTCTGCTTTCTGTGAACTTAGAATCTAGGTTAACAGGACTATGTTAACTCTGGATTTAGGATTTCAGAGGCAAGAAAGGTTTGGTATGGTCAAATACAATAGCATGTGGTGAAAGCATAATCCAAATGGGTTTTGCAGTGAATTCTCCTGCTTATATGGCAGACAGGTTCACATCAACAGTGAAGTAGAAATACCTTGTCTCATCGCCAGCCTCTTCCCTTCTCTTTCTCCTCCCTCCTGAGTCTCTAGATTCAGTTTAGGAAACTTGGACTTCCTGGTGCCAAATTCCTGAAACCACATATAATGGTATTTAAAAGTGCAGGACAAGGGACGCCTGGGTGGCTCAGTGAGTTAAGCATCTGCCTTCGGCTCGGGTCATGATCCCAGGGTCCTGGGATCGAACCCCGCATTGAGCTCCCTGCTCGGAGGGGAGTCTGCTTCTCCCTTTTCCTCTGCCTGCCGCTCTCCTTGCTTGTGCTCAATCTCTGTCAAATAAATAAATCTTCTAAAAAAGTGCAGGATGACAACAAAAAATTATGAAAATGTCCACCAAATCCAGTTGTTTATTTTTCAAATAAAACGATGCATGTTAGATGGTTGTTATCCTACAACTGACAGCTTTGAAAAGAACTAAGGATTTTTTTTTTTAAGATTTTATTTATTCATTTGAGAGAAAGCACAAGCAGGGGGAGAGAGAGAGAAGGAGAGCTGAGCAGGGAGCCCAATGTGGGACTGGATCCCAGGACCCTGAGATCATGGCCTGAGCCTAAGGCAGGTGCTTAACCAAGTGAGCCAACCAGGTGCCCCAGAAATTCAGGGGTTTAGCCAGATTATTTAATTGATGCTGAATCTGCTGGATTCCCCAAAAAAACGTGAAAAGAACACAAAATTGAAGAAAGATCATGAAGTGTGATTTAGTCACCATGGCCATCTGTAATTTCAATTTCACCTTAGGAATTAGAAACAAAATAGCTTTTATTTTTATCTATTTATTTATTTATTTATTACGATTTTATTTATTTGACAGATCACAAGTAGGCAGGGGATGGGGAGCAGGCTCCCTGCTGAGCAGAGAGCCCGATGCGGGTACTTGATCCTAGGACCTTGGGATCGTGACCTGAGCCGAAGGCAGAGACTTTAACCCACTGAGCCACCCAAGTGCCCCTATTTTGATCTTTTTAAAAAAAGGATTAGTTTTGTTTTTGAGGGACAAAAGAGAGAGAGAATCTTTACCAGGTTCCATGCCCAGCTTGGAGCCTGAGCCAGGGCTCAATCTCAAGACTCTGAAATCATGACCTGAGCCGAAATCAAAGAGTTGGACAACTGACTAAGCCATCCAAGTGCCCCAAGGCCTGTGTTTGAAGGTTAATCTGCATGTTCACAAAACAATTAAAAAGCATTAAACTGTCTATTTACGGGCTCCTGGGTGGCTCAGTCCTTGAGCGTCTGCCTTCAGCTCAGGTCGTGATCCCAGGGTTCTGGGATCAAACCCCACATCGGTCTCCCTGCTCAGCTGGAAGCTTGCTTCTTCCTCTTCCACTCCCCCTGCTTGTGTTCCTGCTCTCACTGTCTTTCTCTCTGTCAAATAAATAATAAAATCTTTTTAAAAAATGTCTATTTAGTTTCTTACCAGTAACACAGTAGTTGGCTTTCTTGGAAGATCAAGATTCGTGTTAATTTGAAATCCATGATTCCATGAAAAATGGAATCATGGAGGCTAGAAGGTTCATGACACGCTGAAGTTTCCTATAACAAATACAGGAATATTCATCATAAATGTTTCCTGAAACTGCAGAGTAAACACCAAATCAATCTCTGATCAAATCCAGTCTTTGGTTAGAACTAAGACTGAGTTCCAGTTCCAGCTTTCAGCTTCTTTCTAACTCCCCACCCTCTCCCCTCAGCACTAACTTAAGCTCAGCCCTCAGGGGGTATCCACTCTTATTAACCATCATTATGACAGAGGGAAAAGCCATTCAGATAAGGTTTAACGTGAATTCATCTATTTGCCAGAATAAAAGAGAAATAACCATTTAAGTAGAAGTTTTGTTGGGAGCCTGGGTGGCTCAGTCAGTTAAGCGTCCAACTCTTGGTTTTGGCTTTGGTCATGATCTCAGGGTTGTAGGATCAAACCCTGAGTAGGACTGCTCGCTCAGCGGGGAGTCAGCTTGAAGATTCTCTCTCCATTTGCCCCTCCCCCTGCTTGTATGCGTGGTTGCATGTGATATCTCTCTCTGAAATAAATCTTTTAAAAAATGAAATAAATAGAAGTCTTGTGGCTGTAAATCACAGCTTTAAAGCAGTGCTCTCAGCTTACAATGCTTCTAGCCACCCAGAATTTTGCTCCTAAAAACTGAAAAATTTTCAAGGATGATGCTCAACTCAGAATTTTTGTTTAACATTAGAACCCCCACCCTCTCTAATAAAATTCGTGGGGCTCCACATGAACAGTGTTTCAATCAGGAGCAGTTTTCCTATGTGGATGTGCTAGATATAAGTTTTCCAATTGTGTTCTGTAATAATAAATCATGATATATTCCTTTTTGGAAAACGAGAATTACTGTTGCAGAAAGAGCTGTGCATGTTCAGTTGGAGAGCCCTCAGCTTTGTAGCAAATGGTGTGGTATTTCTGCAGAGATAGAACACAGTCTTTCAAGTCAGGCTAATGTCAGCCCTAGCCATCACTGCTACCTTCAGGACCCTTGGGCAATTAAGTAATTTAATCTGTTTGACCTTGGTTTTTCTCATATATAAAATAGAGATATTAATGCCCACTGGTAAAGGATCTTGTTGCAATTTGTTTTTATTTTAAACATTTTATTTATTTTAGAGAGAGCAGGGGTGGTGGGGGAGGGGCAGAGGACAAGGGAGAGAGAATCACAAGCAGACTCCTGGCTATGCATGGAGCCCAGTGTGGGGCTCGATCTCATGACCCAGAGATCATGACCTGAGCCCTAATCAAGAGCCTGCTTGACCAACTGTGCCACCCAGGTGCCCCTCTTGCTGCAATTTAAATAAGATGAACTGTGCTTCCTGGTTTGTTTTTGTTTTTTTAATTTTGTTTTTATTTATTTATTTGACAGAGTGAGAGAGCACAAGCAGGGGGAGCAGAGGGAGAGTGAGAAGCAGACACCCCTCTTAGCAAGGAGCCCAATGTGGGACTTGATCCCAGGACCCTGAGATCATGACCTGAGCAAAGGTAGACGCCCAACCATCTGAGCCACCCTGGTGCCCTGTGCTTCCTGGGTTTGAATCCTAAATGCAGTTGAGTTTTTAAATGTGATTTCACTATTATTATAGAACTAAATTATTCTGGAGTTCTGGCTGTTATATCATTTTTCCCATTATTGCATGGTACGTAACAGATGCAAAAACAAAAACATACTTTCAGAATAGGAGTGGGACAAAGTCTGAATGTATACATTCCTTTTACATTTCTATCAAGCCAAAATTCATTAGTTTTTCTTAGTTACAAAGATTAAAATAGGACTCTTGAATAACTTCTGAGGTTATTTTGTTGCTATCCAAACAGAACAATTTGTAAGAATTTCAAGATAATCTGTTTTAAGATAAGCATCAAGTGAGTGTTCTTTTTCTCTAGCTGTCATAACACCACACTCTGGTTTTCTTCTGTACATTTTTGGCTTATTCCCAGCTTTTCGTGAGACTCTGGAGTTACTCCATCCTCAGGCCTCGTCTTCTGTGCTTCTCTTTAGGGGGTCTCATCTGTACCCCTGGCTTTAATAACCTCCAACAAGCAAAATTTTTACCAATTTATAACTTTACCCTGGACCACTCCACTAACCTTCCTATTCAGATCTATAGCTTCCCATCTGGCATCTCCACTTCCTATTCTCTGATTCATGTAAGAGGCGTCTCAAACTTCACAGGACCGAAAGTACCTGATTTCTACCCAAGTCTGTTCCTTCCCTAGTCTTTCTCAAGGCTCTCCATAAAAATGATTAGAATTTACTAGATTTAGAAATAAAATAAGATTTACAGGTTGAAATCAAACACTTAAGGAAAATTAGGTTTTTGGAGCACCTGGGTGGCTGTTGGTGAAGCCTCTGCCTGCTTCTCAGGTCATGATCCTGGGGGTCCTGGGATTGAGCCCAGCTTTGGGCTCCCTGCTCAGCGGAGAGTCTGTTTCTCCCTCTCCCTCTACCCCTACCCCCACCCCCACTCATGAGCATGCACTGTCTTTCAAATAAATACATAAAATCTTTTTTAAAAATAAATAAACATTAAAAAATAAAAATTAGGTTATTTCATAACTTTAAGTTGCAAATTCTTGAAACCTCGATATATACCAATAGAATTTTCTGTGCATGAGAATCTCAGAATGCATTTTAAGTCCCATTGACCTCTTCTGTTTGTGTGTTTGTTTGTTTGTTTATTGTGACTTCAAATTGTGTTTACGGAGTCTGTAGCTAACCCTTGCTCTCATTACTAAGATGTCCAGTGCTACAACAGAATGAGCACATCAGGGCAGTGAAAAGATGGAGGTATATCGGACCTCTCTTATGGCAGACAGGAGCTTTCCTTCTGTAGTTGCTTCTGTCTTTAGAAAACATAAATGAAAAATAAAGGGGAAAAGGGAAAGTGACCTACACAATGAGTGTAGCCAGGTTCATTTGGTAAAGGACTAATAAAACTCTTCTAGTAAAAACAGGACTGTCAGCATTTCACTTTAATATTTTTATCGTTTTGGGGGCACCTGGGTGGCTCGGTAGGTTAAAGCCTCTGCCTTCTGCTCAGGTCATGATACCAGGGTCCTGAGATCAAGCCCTGTATCGGACTCTCTACTCAGCGGGGAGCCTGCTACCTCCTTTCTCTGCCTGCCTTTCTGCCTACTTGTTTTCTCTGTCTGTCAAATAAATAAATAAAATCTTTTAAAAATTTTTTTTTTATCATTTTTTTCCCTCTACTCTGAAGCATCTGGCCACAGCCAGCAGATGATTTCGGCTCTCTGCCTGGGCCCAGGTGTGGTCTCCCAGTCTCCGCTGATAGTCCAGGCGGCTGCCACTAAGCAATCAGATTAGTGTGAGCACGCTTTTTGAGTAGCTGAAGCCACTGAGAAAAAGTAGAGAAAGTGAGAGGATAAGTGAGAATTTGTTGAAGGTTTTTTGGTTTGGGGGCTTTTTCTTAGTAATACTGTAATTTGATTGCTTTTCAGGCATTAATTAATTTCTTTTAACTCTTAAGTTTTAGGGTAGATTTTTTGAAGTAGATCTTTGAGTGGGTACAAAGTCTCCCTAACACTGACAATTTTAAACATGTTATCTCTGTCTCTCTTCAGTCCCTGCGGAAAAATATGAATGGAAAACTAGAAGTGGTCTACTGTGACTTCTTTAAAATGGATCCTAGAAATTTTGGAATAGTAAAACCTCCCATTATGATTTCAGAAACGCTTTTTCGGCATTTGGGAATAGAAGCAGTTCCTTGGTCAAAAGGTAATGCGTCCTGCCTGGGTGGTCGAGTGTATGGACAGGTGCTCTCAGGTGACTGTGGTTTTCCCCTCACATAGACTGAATCCGAGCAGTTCCATGGATGGCCAAGCACCCTACCCGGGGATTCCGAGGCGTCATTTTAGTTGACTTTATATAGCTTGTAGAGTTAGTCTGACTCAATAAAATACGATCTTAGGGAAAAGTTTTAACAATTTACTCGAATATCTTTGCTTGTATTCCTAACAGATACACCATTAAGAGTAGTTGGAATCTTCCCATCAAAAAATGAGAAAAAGATACTTTGGAAACTTTTATATGACCTGTATTCTTCTACTTCTATATATAGTTACGGACGAGTAGAACTAAATATGTTTATTACTGAGAAAGAATACGAGGTATGTTATTACAAGTACTTGATGCAAGTTTTTGTTTTGGAAGAGTTTTGTGATCTGTCTCTGAGTGGTGTTAATCTGAATGACTTTAATTTGAGCTCATGACATTTGAGAGTATTAAGATGGGTTTTTAAATTTCGTAGAGCATTCTTTAGATTCGAGGTTTTTTGTGGTTAAATACACATGACAACATGACATATTTACTATTTTAACCATTTTTAAGTGTACAGTTCCATGGCATTAAGTTCACATTGTCATAAAAGTGTACCACCATCTATCTCTTCTCAGCACATTTTTACCACCATCTATGTCTTCTCAGCACATTTTTACCATCCCATACCGAATTAGGCATTACTCCTCATCCTGAACCTCTGGTAAACGCTGTCCTACTTTCTGTCTCAATGACTTTGACTATTCTAGGTACTTCAGCGTAGGTGGAATCATAGAATATTGTAGTTAGTGTCTGACTGACTTCATTTAGCATAAAGCCTTTATGGTTCAGGTCAAAGCATGTGTCAGAATTTCATTTTCTTTTTAAGGCTGAAAAATACACCATTGCATACGTGTGTGTGTGTGTGTGTGTACATTTATTTATTTTTTACACACAAACACATACACATAGATACATACACCCACCATCTTTTCTTTATCCATTCATCTGTCAATGGACATTTGAGTTGCTTCTACTTTTTTGTTATTGTGAATGATGCTGCCATGAGCTTTGGTGTGCAAATGCCTCTTCCAGTCCCGGCTTTCAGTGCTTTTGAGTGTATACCCAGAAATGGAATTACCGGATCTTATGGCAATACTTTTTTTTTTTAAGATTTTTTTTTATTTGATGGGGGGGGGG